TCCCTCCGTCCCTCCCTCCCTCCCTCCCTTCCTCCCTCTCTCCGTGCCTGCCTGCCTGCCTGCCTGCCTTTCCTCCTTCATTCCTCCATTCCTTCCTTCATTTCTTTGTGTATCTTTTTCTTTTCCTTTTCCTAAGGCGCATAAATCACCATGTGCATACGTTGATTTCCCCCACTTATGATGCCGGCAAGAACCTTTGCAATCTCTCCAGTCGGGGCTTCCGCAATCGCTTGAGGTGTCCGATAGCCAGCCTTGTACAGTGCTCGTGCTCTACAAGCCTGCCACATTCACCCCATTCATAAGCCACAGCACACAGCAAACACCAGGCTTCAGTTTCCAACCTGGGATAATCAGAGACCAGAGTTACACAGTATAACAGTTAAACATTGGTACCCTATGTGAGGGACACTCAGATTCTGTCCTTCATGTCAGCAAAGGCACATGTTATGACACATTATGAGTTTGCTGAGCTGGGTCTGGATCTTTACAGACACAGGACTACGACGACCGATCGTTCCGAGGATGCACTCTGCAGCTAAGGGTATACATATTACAACGATTACATTCAAATTACTAACGCAGCCATCCAGCAGTGAAATTTTCAGAAGGTGGTTCCCTACCATGTAGCGTACACAGGACCTGGCGGTTTTCATTGTGACCACATGATGCTGAGGTGGCTGCGTCAAAGTTGATGACGGCATCATGGATGGTGTTAAGTGCACACTGGGTATACTGGGACTCGGGGAAAAACGAGTGCCCGTGCAGGGGTGGGGTTGAGTGCTCATCTTGGGGCTTAACTTTCATCCCACCTCACTTATCCTATTGGTTAAGTGTCCTCCTAGCCAGGGGAAGGTCCACCTCACTTATCCTATTGGTTAAGTGTCCTCCTAGCCAGGGGAAGGTTGCGTATTCTCGGATCGGTATAGGCACGCTCACTACCGTGGTTCCCTCCGAAGCTTCCCTCAGGATAGCTGAAACTGTTGAAAGAACTCTCGGCACACGAATACCTTGGCCCTCGCAATGATGAGCAGCGCAGCGAAATGCGATACTCAATGTGAATTGCAGAAAATCCATGAGCCATCAATACCTTGAACCCACATGGCGCCCCCGGCTTCTGCCAAGGGCGCAGCCCCCTGAGCAATGGCCTTCTTTCAAATCAAAGGCTGACAACCTGTTAAAAGTCAGCAGTCTATCACTGTCCCTCAGATGTATCTGCACACTTTCTCATGTACTGCCTCCAGTTGTTCCCATAGATCAACCCCTGCCCCACCGCCTCAATCCTACTCTCCCCTGTCTAGCAGGGTTGAGAAGGGGGCAACTGTGACAGACATCGAAAACTGGGGAAAGGCAGCTCAGAATACTAAATTGGTCATCATTGGGACGCAGAAGGGTGACCTGACCTCTCAAGAGTCTCAACATACATCATCCCAATCCCTTAAGGCAGTTAATGCACATACATGTGGATAAATCGCCATGCACTTAATTGGTAAGATAGTAGGTCCTCCAGGCACGGGGACGGGGGGGGGGAACGGGTCTCCCCGGCCAATCTGGGAGAGGCACTGTAGAGAACTTGCAGAAGCTGCCTTTTCCTTAAAAACTTGGATGTTGACTGTGTTTGGAGCATAGCTACGATCCGGACCGCCGAACAGGGATCCGTACTGACCGGTGTCCGGCGTCCAGTCCAGGTTTCAGGATCCTGGTCCGGATGGTGGGAAAATGGGGGATGGCCCAAAAATTTTTCAGGCGGCCCAGGTCGTTTTCTTCCATTCTGGGCCGCCGTGGAAAAATGATGGGCAATTTTTTAAGCCTTAGATGTGGCATCCAGACAGGGCCCGACGGAGGCCCTACGTTTTATATTCCCACCCTGCCCTCGTTTCAAAGCGAACGAACCTCTTTCTGGTATTTTGCCTTTTGCATAAGGACTTTACTGTGCACTATCAGACGCGCCCGTATCTTCCCAGGATAGGCTGCTTAGTACATTACTGCATTCCCCCCACATTGCCCCCCAAAATGAAGAAAGTCTGAAAAAAAAAACGAAAAAAGAAGAACCTACTTTCAGAAAGAAAACAGCACCTGTCAGAACAGGCACCTGCAATGACTCTGGGGGCTTTGGGCCTCGCTCTACTACTACTCACCAAATGCAAAATGAAAATGAATCTTTTGCTACAACATGGAAAGATACACCACCACATTTTCTGTCTTTTGTGCATGTGGTGAGTAGTTGAGCCAAGCTGTATGCCCGCTCTCCAACGGGACCATTTCTTTTTTGTAATTATGTTGCTGTTTTCCTTGTTTTTGGGAGATTGGCATGGCGTGTCCTTTCAACGCATGCGCACCTTCCCAGGATTGGACGCTTTGTACATTTCGGCAAACGACAAACAAGAACAACGGAAAGAAAAAATAAAAACGAATATGCCATTTTAAGAAAGAAAACAAGACCCATCAGAAGAGGCGCCTGCAACGGGGGGGTGGGGGGGGGGGGGGTTCTGTTCCACGTTTCCCTCTGCCCGCCACTTGGCGGGTTCTTTGAGTTCAGTTTTTGCTTATTTTTCACACGTTGGCTTTTTAACGTGACCGTTGGCAAAAAGCCAACGGCATTCCAACGGGCCTTGCCCACTTTGCACACCCACGACCTGTTGAAATACAGACCCAAGCTCGAATCCAGATACAATCAGATGACCAGAATAAAATCATTCTGAATTACATTTCGCCCTTTTTTAAAAAAATAGAAAAATTATTCAAAAATATAGCCAATGCAGCCCAACGGCATAATTCAGCCTTCTGTTGCACGCCCATGAACTGTTGAGAATCTTGAGATGCAGACCTGAGATCGAGCATTCCCCCCACAGTGTTTTTTTTTTTTTCCCCGGACAATATATTGCATCCGGACAGGTATCCGGGCAAGGGATCTGGACCAGTCCGGATATTCTGGAATATTCCGGTTTTCCGAAAGTCTGGATGAACCCGGAAGGTCCAGGGTCCGGGGTCCAGTCCGGTGTAGCAATGGTTTGGAGTGTAGGGGTGAGGAAAGGGATACAAATGAGTTTAGACCATACTTGCAAGCGCACGTTGTGCGCACGGTTCCTGAAGTGCGACGCATGCACCCGACCGATCCCGCGCAGCGCACGACGTGTGCGGGGAACAACCTGTCACCCCCCTCTATCCCCTGAAAAAAAAAAGGAAGGCGGGGGGTCGAAACGGCCCGTTCGAGGCCCCTTGCCAAAAGTCGAAGCGGGACAATTTTTTTTTTTTGGAGTGCCGCCTCACCTCGCTCCTCCCCTTCCTCGTCCTCCATGTCTCCTTCTCCGTTTCGTCTCCTCCGACTCGTCCTCCTCCTGCCTTCCTCATCCTCCATGTCTCCTCCTCCTCCTCGTACTTCCTAGTCTTCCATGCCTCCTTGTCTCCTCCCCTTCCTCGTCATCCCTATCTCCTCCTCCCGCTCGTCCTCATCCGCGTGCCCTTCCTCTTTTCCCTTCGTCCATCTCTTCACCTCCTTCCCTTCCACGTCTCCTCTTCCTTCCTCGTCCATACCCTCCTTCCTCGTCTCCTCGTCCTTCCTCGTCATCTCCTCACCATATCCCCATATCAGTGGTACACACAACAATTCTAACGGTAGGGAACATCTAAAACAACCATACCTATCATGCCTGCCCTAGTTCCCAGGAGGCCTGCCCCTGCCCCGTTGGTTCATTGGGGTGATGATTGGGTGGTCAGAGTTCTGTTTTCATTTTATATGCAGTAGTTGGCCCAATTTGTCAGGAGGCAACGGTGGCTTAAACAAGGACCTAGAGGAATCATTTTCAGGCTCCCAAGTGCCATGCTAAGACTGAACTGTTTCCTTGAAACTTCTTAATAGGATGATGATTGGGCAGTCACAGTTTTGTTTTCACTATATGTAGTAGTTGGCCCAATTTGTCACGAGGCATAAGGACCTCGAGGAATCCTTTTCAGGCTCCCAAGTGCCATGCTAAGACTCAACTGTTTCCTTGAAACTTCTGAATAGGATGCGTATGAGGGTGAATGGACACATGTAGCCATTTGGTTGAACAGATGGCAAGTTCAAATCCTGATGGATCAGAAGATGTTGTGGGCTACCCCGTTCGAGGGAAAAGAATAGGGAGGAAGATTCACTTTTTCTGCTTGCTGCAGACAATTCTGGGTCAGCCATGCTCAGTGTAGAAAAGCTTCCCCTGAGCCCCAGAGAAGGAAAACACGGGTTGCCTTCTATTTCTAGGGGTCACTGTCATGACTCACCTTCTAAATCCGTTGTTCATACCCAAAAGCACTTTTTTTTTTTTTTTTTTTTTTAATTTGGACCATTTCTCGATTTATGCGTGTCATCCTTGCGCAGGGACCATGCTAATCTTCTCTGTATCGTTCCAATTTTAATGGATGTCCCGAAGGACTTAGCTCTAATTGCAGGACAAATTGGCACGGTTCGAAGTTGCAAACAGAGCAAAAGGATTATGTAGTAGACCTTCACAAACGGGATTTCGGTAAGCTCAACAATCTCCCCCTTCACACCAAACGATACTCGGTTCTGGAATTTGGAGATGATCGCCTCCAAATCGCTCCAACCAAGCCGCTCACAGAACACAGTAACCATCCCTGCAAATCGGCCTGCATTATCCTGCAGACCCTGCACCATCCCTCGAGGTACATTATACTCCTCAGCAACACTTGCCAAAGGCACTTCCTGGACACATGCAATAGACATTCTGTTAGAAGACATTCAGATATTACTTGTAGTTCATACACATGCGCATACACACATCCACAGAAATGCACACAGTCACACACGAACACCCACACCCACACCCACACCCACACCCACCCACCCACACACACACAAGCGAGAGCACACATTATCCTCTGAAGAAAAGAGTAATGATCACGAGCCTTTCCCTACAAGTCCACCCTGGCTCTACAATTACCTGCCTATAGTACAGCCTTGCAGAGATGCTGTCTCTGATCTCCAAAGGGAAGGAAGGAACTCAATGCACGTGCATTTGTAATGTCATTGCACCCCCCCCCACCTCTCTTTCACTCTCCCTCCCTCCTGCTTGTTCCCTCCCGTTTCACCAATTCCATCCCATGCACGTGGGCCACCTACCCTTTCCCCTTCTGAAGCTCGTTTTAGTGTCCTCCTTCAGCCGCCTCTTTTGGGAGGTTACATTGCCACTGTGGAAATGTTCAAGGAAGATTAGAGCCACATCGTTGTCATAATCACGGTCAAGAAGAAAGAAAGAGCAACATAAAGGCATAAAGGCATGAAGGCAATGTACTAGACAGCAATTCCACTTAGTGTCAGTTCAAATGAATCCTTAGCCTACTCAACAAGTTGACTGAATTGCCTGAGGTGGTCAAGAGATTTATGATGCCTGTCCAGAAGTGGATTCTGACAGCTGACACAAGGATTTCCAGTTCCTTAATTCTAAAATGCATTTTGGACAGAGTCAATAGGCAGTTCTCAGTCATCATTTTGCACTCCAACAGTAGCGGTCTGCATATTGGGGTTTAGGCATTGCAGGGCTAGAACTGAAGACGGATGTTAGGGAACTCCGGGTGAATATTTTCCAGCACATCCTTTGCATCTCAACTACATCAAGAAAAGCAAACAAGGCAAACAGCTATTCTTCAGATATTGACAGACTGAGCAAGGTAAGAAAATTCCCCGCAGACTATCGGATATAGGTCGCACCTCCACCATCTTCGCAAGAATGAGTGAACAAAAGAAGCGCTTGCAGATTCGGAGGGACTCCTGGCGTGCCTCCTTCCTTGTGTCCTGCCCTGCACCATGAGCCATCTGAAAATGGAAGTTGAACAACAAAGAAAGGTGAGATTATTCTCAAGGACATCAGCAAGAATAATCAGGGAAGACTAGAATTCCCTGCACAAACACAGCATGAGGATGAATCAGCAATGTGTGCAATACAGAAGACTTTGGCAATCGATTCCAGAAACACAGTATATACAGATTACAGAACCGTAATTTTTGTAAATAGAGGGGTCTGACAAGTAGCATCTCCTAAGAACGCTAAGATCACTTCATCAGATTCATCTATATCGCTTATCCGCTTGTTGTGATTCAAGAAATGAGAATTTATTTGGAATTCTTAAATTATGATAAAGAATATGAATATGGTAATACTAATGCCGTAATACGGTATCACCATAAGAGTTTTGTGTTTGAAACCTTGCCATTAACTCAGAAGGACTACAATGGACCACAGCACAAGCCCCGCTAAGATACTTGGGAGTTAAGATAACGGAATCAGGTCCGCACCACGCCATGGCAGCTGAACTGATGGCCAGGATCCTAGCAAAGCTGGGGGCATGGTCAGCGATCTATACCTCAGTGTTTGGGAGAGGGCTCATTTTAAATGCATCCATCTTCTCAATGATGTGGTACACAGGGACAATCTGGAGTCCCCCAGCTCAAATGACAGCAACACTACGAAGAAAAGCTTCAGCATACCTGTGGACCTCGGATCCCAACAAGCCTAACTTCATTACTAAAGTGGCATGGAAGCATGTTACGAAGCCGAAGGAACAAGGAAGCCTAGGCATAATAGATCCAGACCAGCAGCTCAAAGCTCTGCAAACAAAATGGGTAGTCAAATTGATCACCCATCAAAAGCTGCCGTGGGTGCCACTTGCCCTCGACAGAATCCGACAACTGGCGCAGTACACTACACCAGCCAACATGTCAGGGCTCTTCTGGTTAATGTGCAGCAATTGGGCCAAAGTAGGGAGAGGCCCAAAGGAGCAGACAGGTAATGAGGACGGAACCAGGACAGACATCTACTGGCAGCAGCTGCTGAAATTATGGAAGGAAATTTTCCCTGCCAGAGTCAGAGAGCCATGTTCTCGTGAGGAGGTTCTTCACCAGTGTTACGGACTTCGCCAGGGCTCGATCCCTGGTCTATCTTTTGCTATTTCGGCTGCATCCCGTTTTCGGCCTGGCACCCTTTTTCCCTACCCCTCCTTTGGTACCGTAGGATTTTGGACAACTGGCGCCATGCTGCAATTCGGGCGCCACTTTCAAATACTGCATTTTTCAGTTCTGCCCTCGGGGCCTTTGCAGAAATGCCCCTGGTACCGTACGTGTCACCGGTACTTATGCCGGCTCCCCGTACGGTACAGGGGCCAGTCTGGTACCAGTTCCCTGCTGCTGTACTCGTACTCAGTGTGACTTGCTGTTTCGGCATTCGGAATCCAAGACTTCGACTTTGTGCCTTGCCACTGTGTCTACGTCCGATCCTCAGTCCGAGTCAGTCGTGTCGAGTGAGTGAGTGTGTGTGTGTGCTCTCACTCTCTCCCTCTCTCTCCTCTCCCTCGGCTCACCCTCAGCCTCACGCTCGTTACACTGGTATCGGAGCGGTTCGAACCCGCCCGACCCACCCTGCTTCGACGTCGTCACCTAGCCATCATCAACATCATCGTCGAGATCGTCACCGCCGTGCCACGTCATCATCGTGATCGTCGTCATTGTGCCCCGTCATCATCATCACGGACGGGATCGCCGCCGTCGCGCCACGTCATCACCACCATGCCTGTTACGGACTTCGCCAGGGCTCGATCCCTGGTCTATCTTTTTGCTGTTTCAGCTGCATCCCGTTTTCGACCTGGCGCCCTTTTTCCAAACTCCT